TTAAAGTACTAGTTTTTGTGTCGCGCGTTGCACGATTGAGTTAGTGCCCGCTGCCCAATACATTCATGAAAAACTGTTTTTATTTAGTACTAAAATGGTAGCAGTGGATTTCCTTTTTATTTAGAATTAAAATGGTAGCGGTTGATTTCATTATATGTATGTATGAAATATGGACATTTATTTATTAATTTTTTGAGATAGGGAACTACTAATATGCATGTCTCGTATAAAAATGGGTTAATTACTTAATTACTTAATTATCATCCTAGTCAAACTCTTAAGTGAGTTCAATCTATATGTGCAGTTATTATGAACATCGGGCAAAATAAATTAAGACCAACCAGCATAACACATAGAGCACAATCGATTCAAACACAACATAGCAAAGAAAGCAAAAGATAAGATTCAAAAGTTTTTGAGGTCTAGAATTAATTTTGGTGTGGGTAAAGTGAACAAAAACATACCTTACTGTATTTCCATTCTTCGTTAGAACTCTCCGCCCATGTGTTCACTTTCCATTGCAATTAAGGTTGAATAAGAGGCCGTTTGGCAACACTGTTTTTCGGTTTATCAGGCTTATCAACCAACTTTTTTACTAAAAGTGATAAGCAGGAAAAAGTAAGGCTGAAGTTACTTTTCTGACTGTATTGGCTGAAGTTATTGTAGATGACCATTTTAGCTATTTTTACATATAACTTTTTCTTTATTCTTTATTTTATTAATAAAATATATTTTTTAAATAATTTTTCATAAATTAGCAGAATGAGCCAATGCAGCCACTTCAGCCAGAACTTTATAAATTTCAGCAGAATCAGCCAAATCAGCCGATTTTCGTGCTACCAAACGGGCTCTAAAAATAGCACACGATAAAGGTTACGATAGAATAACTCAGGTGATCCTCAAACGGCTAAATGAAGACAATTAAGAAGATTAATTGTGTAAAGAAGTGGAACGATATACTCCAAGTTCGTAATAGGGGATAAATAACTTTGTTAATGATTCATCATGGGCTTAACGGAGGAATTAACGGCCACCAAAAATATGAAACTTGACGTACATGTGTTTAAGATTAGAGTACAACTATTTTTTGCTTTATGTTACACCAACATTTTTTACATGCCATTTAACCCCCTACCTCTATTGGTGTTTATAAGCTTTTAAGATTAAGATTTAACCCCCTACCTCTATTGGTGTTTATAAGCTTTTAAGATAAGATAAGATAAGAAAACAAGTAGCATGCAGTTTAACAAAAAAATTATAAGGTATATGACTGGAGTTGTATACTTGTATAGGCCAATATAACATCACTATAACAACTCATTTTCATAATCCAGTTTAAGTTAAGGATTCATTATGAAAATGAGTGATTATGAAGAAGTCATATAGATTCATACCACTCTAATGAAATTTTTATATATTTCTACAAAGATTCGGTGTAGTTTAACAAATGACATGATGTATTTCTGACGTTAGGTTAAGTGTCTCTAGCAAAAAGTCATTATTACATTTCCACCATATGAAAAATGCTCTTGTACACAAAAATGTGTACACTTTTTGTACATTCGTCTGTCTCACGCAGAAAGGGTTGTCTGTCTACAGATGTCTCTATAGAATTGTCTGTGGACAGACAACTCTGTCTGCGTGAGACAAACGAATGTACACAAAGTGTACACATTTTTGTATACACCTAGCACAGTTGTCCACCATATACACCAAAAGGGAATATGCATTTAGATTTTAGGAATTCAATCACCAATACTCTAAGTCTACAGTAATATAGGGAAACACCGTTACATCGGTAGTATGATACTCCAATAGTCTAATGTGTTAATTGATGTGTTTTTTAAGCACCAATTGGTCATTGTCTATGGTGGTGGTGGTGGTGAGGAATGCATGATAATGGATTAATGGTTGCCATAATTAGATATAAAAATTGATCCCCAAAAAATCATTTTCCACATTTGAGATGACATTTTTCAGATCAAGGAAGTTATGTTAAGATAAATGTAATAGTAATTATAGTACTCTGATAATAACTTATGGTAGGCCTCCATATTAAGTGTCTCTAACAAAAAGTCATTATTAATGATAGACCATTAGTACTCCATATTATGGTAGTAGTAACTTTAATAATAACTTATGTTCATTTTTTACAATTAAGTGATTATAACACTACCGATAGTAGATATGTCAATGAGTCGGGTCTAGACTCGGACCTGACCGGAATCCGGTTGTTTTTAACGGGTATGGATCTATATTTTATTCCATTTACTCGGACCCGAACTCGCACCCGTTAGATTTTTATAAACGTCTCGGATATGGTACATATGATTCCGACACGTTAAAGATCCGAATCTGTTTAATTTTCTTTTTATTAGTATACACACATACACACACTCACTCTACATAAAGTGATTAGTTGTAATACTTCAAATGAAAAAATACAAACTAATACTCTCACACACACATACATACTAATACATAAAGTTATCAGTAGTAATTCTTTAATTAATTAAAAATATACACAATAATACATATTGTCTACTGTTTAAGTAATATTGATTGAGATAGTGAGAAACCCTAAAACTAATATTTATAGTGGCCGTTTTTAAATTATAATAAAGTGTGTATTGGGGTCGGGAGGCAAAGCCCTGTATTTATTATTAATTACTACCTCCGTCCCATTTATATTGGGACGGAAGAGGGTGACACGGTTATTAAGAAAAGTGGGTTTGTGTGGTTGATATTAATTGATAAAGTAAGAATAAAGTAAGAATGATTTAGAGTCACACAAACTTTGCCAAATATGATATGAGACAATTTAAGTAGGACTTCCCGAAAAGGTAAAACGGGACAATATAAATGGAACGGAGGGAGTATATTATTATATTATTATCCTATATAATATACTTTCATACTCTCACTAGTTCAAGTGACCTTTTGTAACCTAATTTCTAGTCTAATATAAGAGTTTTCTGTGCGAGAGAAAGAGACACAAAGTGTGGAGTCATACGCTTCTACAAGAACTGATATTTTATTAGATAAAAGTACTAATTTTCTATGAGAAACAATGAGTTTTTTCAAAAGTGAAATATATTTTGTTTTTAAGTTTGTGCTCTTTGTTTTGCATTTCATATACATGTCTTGTTATTTTCACAAAGTTTATAATGTTGTGCATATCATACTTGGCGGGTCTACCCGATCCAGTTCTGAGACCGTTGGGTCCGGGTCTGAGTCCAAATTTTTCAGACCCGCTTGGTATAGGGGTCGGGTTTGGGTCCTTTATTAACTTAGCAGATCCGGATCTGGAACACTACGTTCCACCCGGGACTCGACCCATTGACAGGCCTAACCGATAGTACCTTTAGTTGTATTTTTTTTATAAATAAGTTTTATTTCAATAATATTTTTGGAAAAACCCCGGAAGTATTATTTGCGTTTGCCTTTGAAATAAATAAATGTGGCATTACTCCCTCCGTCCCAATTTAAAAGACCCTCTTGTTTTACATACAATTTAAGAAAGTGACACGGTTTGACAATGTTTGATACTGTTTTGTTTACCAAATAAGAAATGTGACATTTTTTAGGGACGAACCAAAAAAGAAAGAGAGTATTTTAAATTGGGACGGAGGTAGTATTATTTAACACATTCCAATCAATTCTCAATCATTTTTACTTTTGCATTGAACTAGAGTATTAAATAAATGTGGCAGTCAAAACAAGAAGATGGAATATTTATTATTCCATGAAATACTTTATGCGAGTAAAGAGTACAAGAGGTCCTGATGCACATCTGCAGTTGACAAAGACAGCCCCCACCATTAGAGTGCAGATAAGACCAATGGAGAGAAGACATACATGCATCTTTGGAAGTAAAATCACAGACAAGGCTGTGAAATATTTTCTGGCCCCTGTTATAATTTTCGCAGCATTTTCACCAACATTATTGTCAAGGCCCTACCAGGCACTTAAGATGAAAGTGCGCATAAACACTCAAATTAAACATAACCCTGTCTGCCATTATTTTCTTCAACACACATTCTTCCCTTATGCTTATCAGGCCTAGCAGCCTAGGGCGTAGTTTAACCGGTAGATAGAGTATACCAAAATGGATAGACCCGTGTTCAATTCGGGATAACTGAAGTTTGAAATCATGTCCATGCAATCTGATCACGCTAAAAATCTAATTTGCCCCTCCAACAGTCCAACCCGAAATGTACATACAATCGCGTTCTAAGAGCCCTCAGAGATCATGTGTATTTTTAAACCGATGTTTAATCATTCACACATTCTACCAAAACGAAAGCAAATCCCTTTCGTGGTGGGGCCCACATTTATTATGCTCCATTTTTTGTAGTAAGTACCAACCCACTGCAAAAAAAAAAATCATAGTACAAAGGAAAAGCAATTTCTCTATCTTAGCATGTAGATCTTGTAATACACTATGCATTACCTTTTGCCTTTTCAGATAGGTTGCTTTTATTAAAAGTGAATACTGCACCCCAGTTTTTCTATAGAATGTTCAAACACTTGATGCAGGTGCATGCACTTCACAAATATATGCAACAACTATAACATGGTGAACTCTTGGGAGTTAGGACCCTTCAATATTTCTCATCGTGAAAAGTTTTCTTGTCACGAATATAAACATCAGGTTTGGTTTGATTGAAATAAGAATATGATATTTAAAAAAGTGAAGAGAACAAATCCTCAGCATTTTCATGCTTCAAAAATCTCTAAAAGGAACTTTATAAAACCTTCCATAAAAAAGAGTAAAAAGAACATTTTCATTTTTTTTGTTTCTGTGTCCTTACAACTATAGAGTGCAGTATTTTGATTAAAGTAGAGATGGAAACAAAGTTACGTTTCTAACTATTGTGTATTAGTATTTACTCTCATTATTATGATAGAGGCTCGAGTGAAGAATGACATAAAGCCTTGTCCCTAGGAGCATAAAGCACCACAAATAGGCAATATATATGAACCAATTCCCTCCCACTACATCTCATTCTCATTCAGTTTCCCTCTTATCTCAGGCCTTCTCCATCTATCTTCTGAAAATAAACTTAATAAAGCAGAATGAGAAGTGAGCACAGAGATCATGAGGCAACCATACATGGTTCAGGAGAGTGGTTGAGTTTAGGTATGGGAGGAGAAAGCACGCCTTCAAACCCTGCTTCTCCCAAGTTGTTTTCATGTAATTTTTGTATGCGAAAATTTTACAGCTCTCAAGCATTAGGTGGCCACCAGAATGCTCACAAGAAGGAAAGAGGTGCATTGAAAAAGTACAACTTGGTGGGTATGGCATTCCATAATCCCATGTTAAGGTCTATGGGTGTTATACACCATGGAATTATGCATGGTCAAGGGAGGGATAATGGAAATGGAAGTATAACAGTGACAAAGTTTGGGAAGCCTCCTAATACAAGGTTGTCTGTGTCAGGGCTGTCTGATCCAATGGACAAAACAGCAGACTCAACATGGCCAAGAAGTTTTTGGTTCAATCCTCAAGAAGCAGAGGAGCAGTCCTCCTCCTATCCTAATAAGCTAGACCTAAACCTGAAGCTGTAAATATTGATTTGACTATCTTTCTGCTGTAAATATTGAAGTTGAAATTATTACCATTGTTCCAAAAGGTTGAAGCCTGGATAAGAGATTGGAAAGTAAGGAAATGCCAAGGAAAACGATTTTTATTTTCCGAATTACTCCACAAAGGGCAAAGGAACAAGAAATATGATTACTTTTTAATAATTTATTTTACAAAATATAAGATTGCTTAGTATTTATATGACAAAAATTGACAAACAAAGTGAATCCGTCTTTGAAGTTAAATTTGAATTCCTCACTACAATATTTCTTTCCAAACTATGTTTCAAATTAGTTGCCCGTGATTACTGTAGTATTACTAGTATGTACCAAAATCTATTTTAATTTGTAAATGTGTGTAACAAATTAGTTATAATCAGATTCATTTTTTATGTCTCAATTTTAAAAGTCTTAGAATATATTGGCATCTTTAAATGCTCAATCTTCTTGTGATGGTTGAGAAAAAGTTAGGCTCCCACCAGGCCACCAGGGGCGGAGCCAGAAAAATGTGTGAGGGGGGTCGGAATTTAATTATATACAGTATCAAAATGATGGATAATTATTAATGTACACAATACTTGAGTTAAATGTTTCATATGTAGCTGAGATAAATGGTAGTTTAATGAGCATTTTTCGGTTAATGTATTGAAATATATGTAATGTGTCATAATGTTCACACAACTAATGACGAAATAAGGTGTTTTATTTTTAAATTTAATAATATAATCAACGTCACACATCAAACTTTGCTTATTTCAAGTTAAGATAGTGCTGATTTTTCCAGAAGTCATAACTTTTTACTCGTAAAGAGTTACGGGACCCATAATATATCAAAACGAAGGCATTTCAAAGCTCTACATTCATAAATTTTCAGCGGGGTCGGCTGACCACCCTAACCCCCCTTGGCTCCGCCCCTGGCTCCCACCAGGCACTCCTATTTCTCACTGACTACAGAGGTAGTCAGTGGATGGTCTAAACAATAAAATATAATAATACGTACAATAGGGTAAATTACGTCTCCTAGTTATGTACTCCCTCCGTCCCATTTATTTTGTCCCGTTTTACCTTTTCGGGAAGTCTCACTTATATTGTCCCATACCATATTTGGCAAAGTTTGTGTGACTCTAAATCATTCTTACTTTATTCTTACTTTATCAATTAATATCAACCACACAAACTCACTTTTCTTAATAACCGTGCTACCCTCTTCCGGGAAAATATAAATGGGACGGAGGGAGTATAAAACTATAAATACCAAAAAAATGGAACTTTAGCAATAAAATGTGATTTAAAAAGGTTTAGAAGCACGGGCACCTAGCATGCCTACCCAAAACCTAGGTCGTTCGAGTCGGAATATTGCTTATAAAGATGTTTTTAATAAGACTGGAATTTTCTGGTTTGGTTGATCTGGTATGTTTAAGTTTGGTCTAGTACATGTCTGGTCCATGTGTATTACTAGACTTACTAATATACTCCGTATATAACTGTCAAAGTTTGGTCTGATTAAGTTTGGTCTGATCTGATCTGTTTAATTCAGATTTGTTTTGTTCTGATCTGGGACTGAAACCAGTCTAAGTAAAAACATCCTAGATCCCAATTCGGACTTCCACTTTGGCCTAAGGGGCACCAGGCACCAGGCAGTCAGGCACCTAGTGCCTAGGTGGCTGCTTACGTTAAATTTTGCAACACTGTTTCTAGTGTGAATCTTATAAAGTGTCTACTTTTAAGATGTTCCTATTGTTGATAACATGTACACCTGTCCAGCATCTGGTTCTTCCACCTAAACCGGGAAGCTTTCTTACCTTATTCTGTTGTCATTTCCACTACCAGAATGATAACTTGGGAGATTTCTTTTTGGAGCATCAAACAGTGTATATTACATTGAGGTTACATCAGGCAATGCAATGAAACTTTTGTGGTTTCTTTTACTTCAAAGTTCAAACTATCTCCACTGCTTTCAAAACGGGAAAAAAAACCTCAGCGATTTCCATCGATCTCATATCCAAACACAATGCAAAGTGACCAGTATATAAGCAGAGATGAACATTAAGAGTTGGAAAAAGGAACGTTACAATACTATGTTATGGGTAGACTGATTAGAAAGTAATCAGAACAAAAAATTATCACTTGTGAGAATTCCAAATATTGTTCATCACTTCACCTATGACTACTTAGAGTACGTTTTGCTTACACGGCATCTGAAATATTGAGCTTTTGGGTTCTCTGCAGTATAACCGGAAGCCTTTCACTGCTGATGCTCGGATCACTATATGCAGCAGAATCAGTAGGTAACCCTTTCTGCATAATCAGTCCAAAAAAGTGGTAAATGTATCATGCAAACGTCACAGTTTTCTGCCATGAGTAACCATGTATAAACTCTAAGCAGAAAATTCAAATGAGACCAAATTAAAAAAAAAAAAAAACAAGTTTAAGCCCAAAGCTAAAACTAAAGAGAAGTTTACCATGCGTATGACAAAACCACTTACTCTTACCCAGTATATGACTATGACGTTATATTTTCCCATTCTCACGCCGTATGTATGGTTCCTATATTTATTGTTTTTTATGCCCACCATGCCCTCAACAAAATCACTAAATAACAAATTTCCCTCTTCCTCAAAATCACGAATTATTATCACATACCATCATGTTTTATCTTCATAACAAGACAAATTAATTAGCCTTCCTTATAATATGACGTTCACATGGTAACGGCTTCTCCTCCAAATTCTCAACATCACATAGTTTATGGAAAAAAATGTGTTCTCAATAAAGTGAAACTTAAGCATTCACAATATGGAAAAGCAGTATGCCATCATAGTTTCATTTACTTTCCAAACACATTCAAGTTCTGTATACTTTCCACACACATTCAATATACTTTCCAAAAACATGCAATTCACTGTTCAAAGGCATTCAATGTACTGTCCAAACACATCCACACACATTCAATGTAGTCTCTCAATAAGCATTCCATTTACTGTCTGAACACTTCAATATACTATCCTTGTCATATTTTTCCAATATTATAGACACAAACACTTTCTTTTTACTGTCCAAAATCTACGATTATTATATTTAAAAGCCCGTTTGGTAATACCCAAATCGGCTGTATTGGCTGATTCTGCTGGAATTTATGAAATTCTGGCTGAATGGCTAGATTGGCTGAATCTACTGATTTATGAAAAAAAAAATATATTTTATTAATAAAATAAAGAAAATATATATAAAAAATAGCTAAAATATTCTTCTACGGTAACTTCAGCCAATACAGCCACAAAAGTAACTCCAACCTTACTTTTTCTTATTATTACACAACTCAGCGCGCGAAATCTAAAGGTTCATGTTTGGTGAAAAAGTTGGTTGATAAGCCTGATAAGCTGAAAAACAGGGTCACCAAATGGACTCTTACTGTCCCAAAAGATTCAACTTACTGTCCCGTGGCCCTACATATTCGCTATGTTTCCATTTAAAAAAATCCTTTGTTCTCAGTCTACCCACACAGAGGATTTAGGGCAATAAAGTAATTCACATCCTCTATTTTAAAACTAGAGATGCGTGGACATGGTTTTTAGACATACGGCACATAAAGAAGTTCTGAAGTCATATTTTGGGAACTTCATTCTCTTTTAGTCATATATGCGTATTTCTAGCAATTTATTTTTAACAGAATAAGTCCCAACATGCAATAGTCCATTTCTTGCGATTGTAAAACAAATAGCATACATGACAGTAAAAAAGAAATTGTTGGCTACCTTATATTGTTAGAGAGCACCCCCACCCCCCACCCCCCGCAAAAAAAAACAAAAAAAACAAAAAAAACTAATCATATATGGTACATTTGGATGTACTATGATAATTTGCACCCAACAACGTAAAATGACCACCCCTTTGAGGGAAATGATCAACTATCATATTCAAAAAAGCATCAATTAGCGGATAATGATCATTATAAAAAGCATGATCACAACTAGTAGGTGGACAAGAAATGTCCTAAATTACAAATTTGAGCTTTGACAGTTTGACGTTTAAAGGGAGTAGAGACAGTTTTCTTTAGAGGAAAGTAACAGACTCCAAAAGCAATTTTAAAAAATGTCACTGAATGTATGCAAATGATGTGTAGCAGAATTTGTAAGGAGTGATATTTAACTTACAGAAGATAAAGATTGAAATGAGGTTTCTCTCCAGCAGCTTTCTCCAAGAATAACTGATTTTCCAGGCACAACAAAGGTGCAATGCATACGAGTATCCCTCAGCCGCATCAACACCCCATCAACTCTAAGCTGTTAGATTCTCAATTAGTCAATCAATATGGAACTGACACTCTGAACCACGGCAAAATGTAAACACATAAGTTTTTAATTGTAAAATTGATTGTTTGTAATGATAAACTAACCCAAAAACGCAGCAGCAGGAACCAACCACTAGGCATGACTCTCTAGAAAATCACAATAATAATGATCAATCTATAAGCAACCCTGAAGGCACATGCAGTTGCAAAAGGTAGAAAAGTAAAGTCATTGTTTACCACTTTAACTGTCAAAAGAGATATTCCATTATCAGCTAATTCATCTTCATACAAGACGATCTGTTGAAAAGTTGGAGCAAACATCACTTATGCTGCTCACAAGCTACTAAAGACATTAGACAAAAATATGATAAGACATACGTCGGTATATATGCGCTCCCTGAATTAAATCACTAACTTACTACCTCGTCATAAAATAGAATAGGCTCCTTTAATGCAAGTGTGGCCACATCAATTTTCTCCTTGCAGCTCTCCCACTGCAAATTAAAATGGAAATTTCTATAGAATTGCAGAAAGGAAATGATTCAAGAAAGGCAATTAAAGAGGATACTCTGAGCACACGCTTAAATATAGGCGATTGGCATTGAAAATTTATAAACTTGTAGAAATATATGTTATGTATGTGTGTCAATCTATCTATCCATGTATAAATATACATACACATATATGTGTGTGCGCGCGCGCGCGTGTGCGCGCGCACGTGTATATGCACATAGTAAGGTTGAAATGAAAATGGGTCTTCCCATGAAAAATAAGAATAGGTGAATGTTATTATCTTCTCAACAACTAATATTATTTTAGAGACTCCATGTTCGCCGGGGGGGTGTATCTCAACAGGTAATAATCATAAAAAACTCAAACGTGCAATGTTTAATCATAAAAATGATTTGCTTGATAATACAAGTGAATTTTGTGTTTAAACAAAATGTTACGGAGTAATATATTCATGCATATTTTTATACAGCTATTGATGCACGTTTACTATGTACTCGTACAATTTTTCAATATAATGATGCACTTTTATTTCAACTGCTCCATTAAAGTTTTTCTAATTTACCATAATGCCACCATGTTTTAGCTTTAAGAAATGGGAAAAGGGGCAAATAAGCCCTCGAACTAACCAAAAAAGTGCAAATAAGCCCTTATATAGGAGGTTATGTCCGGACTTCGCCATTTGGGGAGGTTCCTGGTGGAATTTTTTGATGAAATTGTTTGAGCATCTTCTTCATTAAGTCTAGTTTAGCCATATCAAATTTCAGCTAAAAATTCACTTGGGAAGACAGTCAAATGAATTTTCGAAGATAACTGCGCAGTTAAACAACGCAGTATATTTCAGAAAATCATTTGACTGCCTTCCCGGTTGAAGTTTTAGCTAAAACTTGGTATGACTAAACTAGACTTAATGGAAAAGATGCTCAAAAAAGTTCATCAAAAAATTCCATCGGGAACCTCCCCAAATGATGACGACCGGACCGAACCTCCTATATAAGGGCTTATTTGCACTTTTTTTTATTAGTTCGAGGGCTTATTTGCCCCTTTTCCCTTAAGAAATTGACCAAATCCTTCCAATTTATCAAATCAAAAGCCAAGATTATTTCTAATTTTTCA